CCACTCGCCTTGGCCTCCCAAAGTGCTGGGATTACAGGCTGAGCCACCGAGCCCAGCCTCTCTTCACGCTTTTAAGAATTTTACTTTATTTTATTATTTCATCTCCTGTTAGTCCTGAGTCTACTTTTATGTTTTCAACCTGAGATTATTAGTGACTTTCATGCTGATAAATCCCATCAAATTTTTTTAGTTCTTACCTCATCTGACTCCTGAGTAGCATTGATCACTTAACGATTTAGTTCTTTTCCTGTTTCCTTCCTTCAGTTTCGGGGTCATCGTACTCCTGGTTTTCCTTCTGTTTCTCTGTGGGTGCCTTTTCGGTCTTCTTTGCAGGCTCATCATCTAACCGTAGTGTCTTGGATTTCCTTAGATGCCATTCCTAGAGTAGCACAGACGAGTAACTAGGTGGTACAATTCCAGTTCTTTCATAGTTGATATTCTTGAGGATGATTCTTAGCATGGGAGGACTGATGTATAGGGACAAGATAGAAAAGATTAAATAAAAGCCATGTAGTCCCAACTTTGAATTGGAAATAACCAGTATGAACTCAGGATTTAGTTTATGTTAAAAGCATTTCCCCCTAGATCTTTCTGCTTGAATGGGCTAGAAATAACTAACCCACGATGAGTCCTCAAATGGTGGTTTGGAAAAACGTTTCTTAAAAGAACTGCAGCTTCTTGAGAAATGGAAAAATGACTGATTCCAGGTTTGGGGGAAAATGAGTAAGAAGAGCCTAGAACATCTTGTCAGAACAGGAAGCTATCAAAGAATAACTGTGACTGACTCAAAAGCCAGTTTGAATATATATTTTTTCATTTGCCAAAGATGGGACAATTTAATCATCCACAGGACATTAACTGAAATGTATCAGAACCCAACCAATATGTTTCATCTATGAGTTTAAAAATGATGCTTAAAAAAAACACTTAATTGATCCCTTTTGGAGGGATCATAGTGTACCAATTTATTATTTTGAAAACTGGCAAACAATGAAGAATCAAGCATTTATTTCTGCATCTCATATATTGGTTCACTGGCAAAGCAAATAGTAGCCTAGGGAAAATACTCCTCATAGAGGTGTTCCAGCTAATTAATTAAAAAGAAATTATAGACTATTTTTTATTATCTTTTTTATTATCTTTTCACAGTCTTGATGAATTAATGAATTTGGGTATTGATCACCTACTAATTCCACAGACAGAAACAACCAAACATTTTCTTCCTTATAAAAGAGCACATTATCCATGAGATGATCTTGCTGAAAAAATTCTAACCTATATATGACCGGGACTCTAGATCCAACTCTCAATTTGCATAAAACACAGGAACATCTTAAATGATACCACAGGGATGCAATCAGTAAAACCTAGGCTCTGGAAAAAAAAAACCTACATGAAAACAATCCACTTTCTTCGCAAGGATAGAAAAGATAGGGGGATCTCATAAATGAAAAGACTTTCTCACAGACATCTAAGTACCTATCTTTTCTTTCAAAGCATCTTCATTCCTCTGTTGTGACACTAGGTTGTTTTGACTTGGTCTGTTGATAGACATTTCTGTCCCATTAACCTACATGTACCTCAAGACAGGGAATGACCTCTTCGTCTTCCTTTATCTCTTAGTGCCAAACACAATGCCTAACGTTTGTTGGGGCAGTCAGTAAATATTTCCTTTGTACATTTAATGGATGACTTCAGTGGTTAGTCAGTCACAGTCACCTTTGATCTTAGGTTCTTTTGGCTAGCGAGCTGACAAGTCATAACATCTCCATATTTGCCTTTTTATACTTTTGACTGTTTTGAGTATACCTTACTGTTCTCCATTTCTTTGGGACTTCCGGAGTGTATGCTTGTTGTAAAAGATTCCCATCCTCCACCATGGAAGGTACTTTATTGCTGTTTCTAACTGTAAAGATCATATATTTTCAGTTTAAAAAAAAAAATCAAACAAAATAGGAAAGTATAAAAAAACCCTAAAACCATTACTGTTAGCTAAAAAAGAAACTCAGGCCATCCCTATTATTTTTCAGAAATACAGTTTTATCCATTCCTTCTTCCTCACTCTACCTTTACACTCCCCCACCCCCAGAGTTCTCCATAAATAGGGTCATGCCGCTGTCCATCCTGCTCTGGAACCTGCTTCTCCCTCACCCAGTCCACCATTCAGCATGCTGTGTGTCTCTTTCCACATGAGCAAATACTACTATACGTTGTCAGTTGTGGGACACTATGGCATTCCTTCTTACTAATATATCTTAATTTAATTGACCATTCCAGTACTGATGAACGTTATCTTTCTCTATAGTTATTTGTAATTATTCTCTTACTTAAAATGTTGTAGTGAAATACTTTGAACATAATCTTGTGTACATGTGGACAGTTTTCTCCTGAGGCTAGAGCTGGGTCTGCTGGGTTGAAATGTGTGTTAATTTAAAATGTGTATATTGCTCTACCACCCTCCAGAAAATGTAGGCCTATTTTCAGTGTCCAGCAGTTGCTTAGCAGTTTTGTTATACTCCAAATATTATTCATCAGCTGTGTAAGCACTAGTCTTCAGGTAAAGTAACTCCTATCCTTTTTTTCAGCTCTTTCATTTGGTGTCTTTTCTTGAATTATTTCTCTTCTCTGTGTTGGCAATAGGGACTATTAAAGTTTGTCTATGATGTGAGATCATAAACTGGACACAAATAAATGCAGATTAGAATGTGATTGTCTCATAATAACTACTGTACCTCACTTGCTATACCCATCATATTATATAATGTGTCTTTGAACAGTAATATGGAATATTATACCTCTTAAATCCTTGACCATATTTATACAAAAGCTTTATTTATAAATGCCATCCTATTTATATCTTCTTGGAGAAACTAAGATAAGGTTAGAACTTTTTTTTTTAACTTCTCAGTAATGTATCAGCCACACTCATGTATTTCCCAGAAGCCTCTTGGAGAGGAAAGATAGTGAGTTTTGAAGTGTGACTGTCCTATGCTCTGATTTCAGTTTTGTCAACTATTTGGTTAATATATGAAGTTCAGTTAACTTTTTTGGGTATCAATTTCTCTGCAAAATGGGGATCTATTTGATTGCTGTTTGATTTGTATTTGAATGATTACTCTAAGGATTTTCTATTGTGTGTGAAAATACTTAGCACAGTGGTTAGCAAATATTAATAATTCAGTATTTGTTCACCTATTTCTTTTGTGGTATTTTGTGAGTGATACATAGTGAATGTTTTTAGATATGTATTTACTATCAGTTATATTGTTACTTTCACAGAAATCTTCTCTACATATACCCTCAGAGTCTTAATTTTGCCAATCGTCAAGGTTCTGCCAGAAATATAACAGTGAAAGTCCAGTTTATGTATGGAGAGGATCCGAGCAATGCCATGCCGGTAAGAAATGTTCTTTTTCTATTCTTCATATGTGGTTTAAGTAGACACCTTTTTGTATCACTTGATTGGCAGCTCCAAACTGAAAATAATGTGATCTTTTAAACCAAATTTCTAACTGCATCACTTTCTATGCAGAGTAGTAATGAGTTTACATAAAGTCTAAACTTATTTATTGAGGATTTGATATGTGCTAGGCACACCTAGAGATACAAAGATGAATAAGACTTATCTAGAGGATAAAAGACAAATACATATAAACCCCAAATAGAAACGTTCAAAAAAGGATCAGAACAATGCAACCTAGAGAACTCTATCAAAGTACAGATCCATTTCTCTACTCTTGGCATCTGTGACTGATTCTTATTCTTTAGCATGTAAGACCAGGCAAGGGAGGTGGGAGGTAATATGTAATATATGAGGTTGTGTTATTGTTTGAAATACTCCCCAGGTGATTTTAATATGTATGGCTCTTCCCATTTTGATTGAGAAACTCTGGCATTAGTTCTCAGTCTTGGCAGTACATTAGATTTACGCAGGGGAACTTTTAAAAATAGCAGTGCCTAGGCTGACTCTCATTTAAATTAAATTATAATCTCTGGGGATTGGAACCAGGTATTGGTTCTATTAAATCTCACAGATTATATTTTCAATGTTGAGAACCATGGTATGTGGTATTATTAAAAGAGTGGTGTAGGGATTCAAATGCATAGGCATTGAGAGGTGGGAGAGAATGCCTTACTGAGGTAATAACCAAGCATCACATGGAAGAACACTTTTTTGCTGAAACCAAAGGTCATTAACATGTTAATGACAGTGGGTTTAGAGAGTGAGGGAAGGAAGGCAATTCAAGTTGGGGAATGTCCCTGAACACTGATAGTACAGTGGTGAGTTGCCAGTGAGTCAGAGCAGTGAAAGATAAGGGCAAGCCCGAAATAGTAGATTGAGATCAGAGTGTAGAGATTCTTTACTGCCTGACTGTCATTTAGGATTCTTGGGACTCTAATAAAGACAAGTTTCATGACAGTAGACTTTTGGTTCAGCTGAAGTTAGTAACATGAAATAGGGATGCTATTGCTGGAGATGTTCAATCTCTGAGAAACTTAGTGGAATAAAGATGAGCTAAGAATAAGTGCTTTGCTAACAGAGCCTTATTTTATCCTTCCATGTCCATCTTTTAATAGTTCTTCTGATTTGCAGCTACTAGGAAAGATGTATTTTCTTCTTCCCATTGCCTCAAAGTTATCAATATTTGTAGATCTCCTTGACAACAGTGAGCACAAATTATTCATCTTTGTATTCTCCTATGGCAGCTATTTCAGATTCTTGCACATAATATATGCTGAGCAAATATTTGTTGAATAAGTGTAGAAGTTATTTTTTGAGATTTGGAGTTATCATTTCATGCTCTGTACTAGTTCTTCATTTTTGCTAAGGGAACGAGTGTACTCTGTTGATGAAGATACTAGACTGAAAATAGACACTTTGTCAGCCTTTATGTGAACTGCCATATGAATTTGATCATATACAGATGTAGTAGTATTTTACATATGTAAAATTATATATATATATATATATATATATATATATATATATAATTATTATTATTTTTGCCTAACAAGCTCTTCCTTGTCTTAGCATATATATGACCTAACAGAGCCCAACTGCATGGAGCCTACACTGGTAGTTAGACCACTCCCTCTTTGGTGCCACCATAGCATCTTCTCACTTCTTTCATGGGCCTTTATCACTTTGTGTTTATACATTTATTTCTTCATCTCGCCCATTAGACTGTGAGTTCCTTGAGGGCAGCGATATGTCTTATAACTATAGCTTGGCACCTGTCTACAGTGCTTGATATGTAATTGATGGTCACGCCATGTTGCTGAATGATTAAAATATATGTCAAGTGGTCAAAAAAGGAATACTTTCCTCTTATATCATTCATGTCATGAAAATAAACAAGTTATTTTGTGAAAAGTGATAGCTTCTCAGAGGGAAAAAAAGGTACTACATTTCTTTCACTTGTGTATTATTAGTCATATGAAAATAAAATGTTTTTATGCTTATGTGAGAGGCTGATTTGAAAGAGTGTATAAACTTGGACATACTGTGTTTGCATAGTTTTTTAAAAAAATAAGGACTATTTAAATGGGTTCTAAGATAATTTTTTGATCTTATAATGTCTGTATGACAAAATTGTAAATTTTGTAATTCTGGCACTGGAACAATGCTTTATGAAAACATACCAAGATATCAGTGAATTAATGAAATAATATTTGTAATCTACGAGAGTCATAGTAATTGTCCAATCGCATAATAATTGCATAATCGCATGTCCTTAAAATAAAAGAACTTGCTTGAAATGTTGCAAAAAGAAACAGAATTGTCAGTTCATATGCCCTTTTAACTAAGTATAATGTCAATTAATCTCTTTATATAAGAATAAACTTTTGAGTTGTTTTTCCAAATTGTGTTGATGGCAGTGTGCTGACATGTCTATATATTTATTCCATTTGTAAAGATAGCTAGCCAGACTTAAGAGTTTTTTATTCTGTGGCTAGATAAAATTATAAGTGTAACTGTCTCACATAGGAATTATAGCTATGACCTTGTTATCATCAAGCCATGTATCTGATCAGCTTCCCTAATTAACCACAGTATTCCTATTAGAATTCAAGAAGCAGATATACAAGGCCAAATTATTTTACCTGTGAACTTTCTGCAAAAGTAATATTTTATTTTTTTAATATGGTAGATTAAAAAACACACACACACGTGTAAGAATATAAGAATGGAGCTCCTCCTCCACTGTAGAGTAGCTTGCAGGAGTTCTAGAAGTGAAGGATACACACTTTGACCTAAGACAGAATTTTTTAATATCATTTCTAAATAATTGATATTTGACTTTCAGAATGACTCTGCTGTCTTAGTGAAGAGGCACGAATTTGTATAGTAAATTTATGCCACCATTTATATTTCTTATATAAATTCCAAATGATATGCCACATCCAGTTTAAAAATAAATTCTTCCCCGTCTTTAAGAAAAAAGGAAAAAAACTGATAAAAATTTTTTGAATGTTTGAATGTCAGATGGGTCTATCGTTGAAAAGAAATTTATAGTTAAACAGATGAACTTTTAAATGAAAGTCAGTAGGCACATTGTTCTTCATTGGGCTGATTTTGCCCATTTTTCTCAAATAGTTATTAAATCAGACAGATTCTTACATAGATATGAAACATCCAGCATTTACTACAACAAAGTTTCAACATGCTGTTATTTGTTTCAGGTAATCTTTGGTAAATCTAGCTGTTCAGAATTTTCAAAAGAAGCCTATACAGCCGTAGTATATCATAACAGGTACTGAATTCAAATGTTTCTTTCAAAATTACTCACTTCTCAGTGGCATTGTTAGCACTGACATTAGTGTGTTTACCAAATGCTTTGCTGCACTGAAGGTGCCAAATTCAAGGCTGACATCAAAAGTTATAATTTTCAATCTGTAGATGCGCAGCCATTTTTGATAGACATCTCAAATATAAGACTTTGTACACAAAACATCTTTTAAATAAAATTCTCTAATCCTTTCATTTTTTATTATATTGTTATTGATTATCATTTGTGGCCTCTGGTCCTTTGGTCTTTCTCAATTATTTTCTCCCAGCACTTTGTAGTTTTACTTAATTTATTAGCTAAGTTGTTGGTATTCTCAACATCCAGAACTTCTTTGATTTAGTGACCTTTCATTTAAATTTCTACATTCTTTTGGGGGGAATTACTGAATGCCATTGGAGAAAAGTTATAGAATTGTACTAATTAGGTCTGTCACAAATTGGCATTTTTATATCGTATGATGGGGTTACAGTAAATCATTTTATCTTCTTCAGGCCTCACTGCTCTTTTATAATCTTTTTGTCATGTTTTCCCTTTCTTACTCTTTTCTCTGATTTAGCAGGAGCCAGAATCATTCCTTCTAGATGTACCTTTTTTCTGTATGCTTTACTCTCAGCGTTCCTATTTTAGGTTGATTAAGACTATCTAACTAGAGACCCACCAACTTCTGTACTATTATCTTACATTACCTCCATACTGATCCGCCTTTCCTTCTTGTTTCACATCCTTGTTTCAGAGGATGTAGTGGCCCACTCCCTGCTCAGTGGGAGTCTTTTTGCCTTTTCTCAAAAACGGTCCTGTCCAGCCACTTTCAGAATGTGGGTCAATCAACTGTCCCTTCTTCTGCATCATTGATCTCTTACTTTATTGGCTTTAACTCTTCTTCTAAAGAAGAACTTAGGTTTCCATACTTAAAACACAATAGTCTTATCTCAGTGCTGTTATACAATATGTGTTTTCCTTGCCCTCTTTAAAACTTTCTTCTTTTTTTTTTTTTTTTTTTACGACTGTCTTGATTTCCTTCTCTCTTTGAACATTCTTTTTTTGGGTAGTAATTAGTCTTTTTTTCTGTAAGTATGAGCATTCTACACAAAACACCGAAACTTTGCCCTTAACCCTCTTTCTGTATATATCCTTTCCCTAAATAATCTTATTTGTATCTCTGAGCAACAGTCAGTGAAAATGCTACTATTTTAATGTTTATGTTTATTTTCAATTCTGTGTTTAGTCATAACCTTCCTTCTGAAGTATAGATATGTATTTTCAGTGGCCTATTGAACCTATTAATTTGGATACCCTGCTGCTTCTCAGCTTTCATGTGTCTATCCCTGACTCTATATCTTTCTGACTCATTTTTATTAATGATCCCATCATTACTCTGACTCCAAATTTGGGACATACTTGTCTTCCCTCTTCTGTTCTCTGATAGTCGATCATCTTTTAAGGCTTGCTGTTTTTTTTTCTGCCTCATTATCAAGCGTATCCTGTGCTGTCCTGTCTCTGGGCCTTTCTTGGACTTTCTTTTCAATTATAATACCAGTTCCTTCTGTTTACTGAACTCCTACTCATTCTTTAAGGTCCATATCAAATCTTATCTCCTAGATCAAAATCCTCTGATCTCAAACTTGAAGAAATCTATTCAGCTCTGTGAAGCACTTAACTCTATATCCTGTCTATCAGGGATTGGCAAACATTTTCTACAAAGGACTGGGTAGTATATATTTTAGGCCTGTGGTTATATAGTCTTTTGCAATCATGTGACTCTGCTATTGTAGTCCAAAAGCAGCCATGGACATTAACTTGCAAGTAAATGAGCATGGTTATGTTCCAATAAAACTTTATTTATGGTCATTGAAATTTGAGTTTCATATAATTTTCATATTTCATGAATTTCACATTCTTTTAATTTTTCCCCCAACCATTTAAAAATAGTAAAAACCATTTTTATTTGCAAGCTATTTAAAACGAGGCATGAACTGGATTCAGCCCAAGAGCCATAGTTTGCCAACCCTTGTTTTGTAATCTATCTGTTGATACATGTGTGTCTTATTTATATTCCTACTAAATCATACACTTGTCAGGGGTATTTGTTTCTTAATATTCAACTTTAAAACCACCACAAAAGTAACACAGCGTTTAGCATAAAAGTGAGCAATTAAACCAACTTATTGAATGAATAACTCTTAGAGATTTCATTTTTTACAAAATTCTTTACATAATTTGATCTCAGGACAACTAAAACACTCAATACCAGGAAATACATTGAAAAAGAAGACACATACCATACTAATTTCTGAAATTATCCCAGTTTGTGGCTGAGTCTTTATTTTTGTTGTTCTCAGTGTTAGTGGAATTAAAATGATGATACCGTCTGACATTGCTGATAAGTTCAATTTTCTCATAATTCAATAACGATTGGTAGAATTACTAATAAGATGCATAACATCTCTTTTTTTTTTCACCAAAGCCATCAAGCTCTTAGATGACTAACATTAGCTATCTTTCTTATTGATATTTTTTAAAGCCTAGTTCCGTTATCAAATCTACACCTATTAATGTTTTAGAGGCTTATTTGAGATGAAAGGCTATTTGACCTATTAATAATCTAAGGAAAATACACCCTAATTGGTAGGATAGTCTTTGCTTTAAAGATAGTTGGAGCCATTCGTTTTTTTGTTGACTAATTCTGAGAAGTACTAACTGGATAAGCAAAGTTGGGATACTAAGGTTCTATCCCTCTTAAGTCTGTATTGCAAATAGAAGCCATACTTTTCTATAAAAATGCACCATTGGCACTACTCTCAGTGAATACTGGGAAGAAAGTGCCATTGATTTCATCAAACGTGGTGTTTGTTGTATTGTTATGGTGTCTGGGAGCACATCTAAACTGTGGGACAGATGCAGTTTGTGGCCATTCCCTGATTTTATCTTTTTTTTTTTTTGAAGCAGTCAGTGAATACTAGTCCATATTTTGGTAACATTTTTAATTTCTTTAACAATGAGATGATTGCTATAAGACATTCCATATAGAGCCCAACTTGATTATTAAGTTGTCTAAAGATACCTTTTTTTCCCTTTTTTTACTAAAGAATGTTACAAATTATTCTTAATATGAATCATACTTCTTTGAAAGAAGAATGTTCTTCTACTGTATGGTTTTAAAATGTATACTTATAAAACTATATTAAATTTTCTGTCTAATATGTGTCAGAATTGGCTCAAAAACAGAGAAAGCCCTGCTCTCGTCTCCTCTTTTGTGCAGCTTCTAATCTAATGGAGGTCTCAGTATCAAGGTGGTGGTTATTAATGGATGTTCAAATAGTGGGTTGCTCAGCCCATTAATAAAAGTGGGATGAGAAATTTCAGAAACAGTGGCAGTTCTTGCATCTGAAAGTAGGATTTACTTATTTAGAGCTTGAGAATGAAGAAGGAAAAATTAGCATGAATCCTAAAATTATTCAGATATACAAATGAACTAGTTATTTATTTTAAACAAATTACTGACTGTTGATTTTTTTTTTTCCTGTATGAAGGTCTCCTGATTTTCATGAAGAAATCAAGGTTAAGCTCCCTGCTACTTTAACTGACCATCATCACTTGCTTTTTACTTTTTATCATGTTAGTTGTCAACAAAAACAAAACACTCCTCTTGAAACTCCAGTTGGATATACGGTAAGTCCTTTTTGTTAAGTATTTAGCTCATTGATCTTAAAAGTAATTGTGATATTTGAGATATAGTTGGTGTTTCTTGTTATTTAAATATTCCCTGTCTGATTCCCCACAGTTACCAAATTACATGGTTAGGAAAAGTAATCATAAAAAGAAAATGTCCCTTAATACAATAAACTAATACAGGCCTGGCACAGTGGCTCAAGACAGTAATCCCAGCACTTTGGGAGGCTGAGGCGACAGCTTGAGCCCCAGAGTTTGAGACCAGCTTGGGCAACATAGTGAGACCCTGTCTCAAAATTTAAACATTTGCTGGGTGTGGTGTTGTGTACCTGTAGTCCCAACTACTCAGAACACTGAGGTGGAAGGAGGTCGAGGCTACCATGAACTGTGATTATGCCACTGCACTTCAGCCTGGGTGACAGAATGAGACCCTGACCCCCCCAAATTTTTTTAACCAGTGTACTTAATTAATTAACTAGCTAACATGTGTAAACACTTAGGTATTATTGGTCCTGATTATTGGGTGTTTACCTCATAGTATAATATGAACATAATGGACTTAAAGTCTTGTCAGGAGAGAATGGTTTAAATGTAAAATGAGTAGCAGAGGCCCTTAGAAGAGAAATTAAAAACACTGAATATATTCCAAAAATTATTACGATTGAATTGCAAAGATAAACATAAGACAGAGGACATCATAATATGTCGTAACATGATTTTGTCAGAAAAATCATGCTTTCACCAAAAAGAAAAGTCAACCTTTGGTTCATTATTGTTATTATTTGGTTCCCAGGTTTTATTCAAGAACTCATACAAAATATTGCAGATAAATGAATTCTAATCCTCATCCATCTCCTCTTCTTTGTCTTGGTTAATTTGGAAGTAACGTAATTTGTAACTCTTTTTGCTGTTAGCAACTATGTGCAACCAATCATGGAGATTATTCTTCAGATATTTTTTGGTGAGATACTTTAAATACCTTTTGGAAAAGGCACCTCAGAAGTCACAGTGATCTTGCTCTTGCTCATTTCAATATTACAGCCCCCCTCACCAAGATCTCCAGCTTTTCTGTTCACTTTGATCTTCTCTTGCAAAAACTGCTCAGAATTGGCTGCATCCATGACCCCATCTTCTATAGGGTGGGTGCAAATCGAGAGTGAACTTCAGAACCTGCTTCTTTTTTGCCCCGCTGTGCTACAAGCTTCTTCACAGGCACCATGGCAGTAGTAGAGGCAGAAAGGGCCGATTCATTATTTTTTACTCTTGCAGTTTGTGACTTGAATTTTACTAACTACAAGAAAATAAATTTATATTCATACTTTTTAATTTCTAGCATTCAAATCTAATCAAATCTTTCACTATTTACGTTGAAACTATTATCTCAGCTTTAAAATGGAATTGCTTTGTGATCTTTTTCTAAGACCAACTTTCTCCTGGATAATAAAGATCCTCTATAGATTTAAATATTTCATGGTTAGTAATAATAATGTTTTGAGGATGTCCTCCTTAATAAAATATCATCCAGGAAACTGCTCTGAAGGCCTATTATTCTTACGTATATAACTAAATCCCTCAATGTTTGATGATATAAGACAAGTTTGGCTTGTACTGGGTCCTTAAGACAGACTTTCTAAGTAATTATTCTTTAACAAACATATTTAAATTGAAATTGTTTCCTTTTCATTTAAAAGTGGATACCAATGCTTCAGAATGGGCGGTTGAAGACAGGCCAGTTTTGCCTACCAGTCTCATTGGAAAAACCACCACAGGCTTATTCTGTGCTGTCTCCCGAGGTCAGTGTCCCCATGTTGAAATTCTCCAGATTGAATTAAATGCGTTTTTCATTATAAAGATGTATTTGTTTACCAAACAAACCTTGCTTTTTCTTCTGTCTACAAGTGTGTAATGAAGTAAAAGTATTTCCCTTGATGATTACAATCCCTCTATTAAAAGTTTAGAAGCTTTTATTGTTTTTTTTAAGTGTACTTATTTTGAAACCAAACTAATACATGCAATATAAACTGAAAGAAAAGATGAATTTGGAGTTTTCATGTTGGCACATGAGAAGCTTCTTTAAATAAATGAATTTTTCTTGCTTTTAGTAGACTTAACATTTTATAAGACTGAAGACTTAAATTAACTTTTTCAAATCTTTTTTTAATTGGTGATCATGTAAATGAAAACAAAGTAGCTATAAACATACAAGAGATATTAGCAACTTTGATGATTACGTACGTGATTTGAAAGACTTGATAACAAAAACATTGGAGAAGTCTCAATGAAGAATCGATATCCACTGTTCATAAACCAACATGTCTCTCGAGAGAACTATTAGGTGATGATGACCAGTGTCTCCTAAATATTTTGACTACAACCGCTTGTAAATGTTGATCTGAAATATGTCTCGTGAATATTCTCCTGGTGGCATTTGGTTTCAGAATACAATTTCAAAAGTATTTAGAGATACATTTGTGTTATTTTTATCTAAAAAAACAATTCCAGGCTGTTGCCCTGACCTCATTTCTCACCTTTCTGTCACTCACTGTGCCCTGGCAATCGCACAGAGCCTCAGGCATGAAAAGGGCATTCCCACCTCAGCCCCTCTGCACTTTGCTCTGCTGGCCATGCTCTGTCACAAGGCCTGCTTCTTCATTTCTCTCAGACGTCCGCTCAAAGTCACCTCTCCGAGGAAGTCTTCTTTGATTATTCTGTTTCAAGTAGCAGACTCCACAACTTTATCTCTTTATTCCTTACTTTGCTTTAGTTTTCCTCATATCATTTATCACTGACCTTATATTTAATTTTTTTCTGTTTATCCCCTATGGAGTATAAGCTCCATGAGAGTAGGGTCTTTGTCTATCTTGTTCATTGCTGTATCTGTAAGTATTTAGAATAGCACTTGGCACATTGTAGGCACTCAGTGAATAATTAATAAATGAATGAAGAAAGACAGTAGGGAAGAAATGTGACTCCCCTTCTCCCAATCTTTCATTCAGTTTTCTGGGAACGGAACCATCTGAACATATCCTCTTGCTGATGGCTTTTTTGTGTTGCTTTCTTATACAAAAAAGTGACCTTTTGCCAGCCTTTTGCCATAGTAGAATCTTTTAAAGGAAATGATTTTTAAAAATGGGTTTTTGTGGAGGTCATAGATTTGGTTTTACTTAATTGAGTTGCACATGGAAGATCAGCTTTCTAAAGGGAAGCTGATGGTTTTCTTTTAGCTTCTATATTATATATGCTCATATATAAAGAATTTTTGGATTTGACTGTAGACATATGGTGTGGCTGATTGATATGTGAAATAAGCCACCTGATTAAGAGCTAAACTTTTGTATGCAGTTGGCCCTTAGACAGCATGGGGGTATGGGGCACCAACATCCTCTCCCCTGCTCCATGCAGTTGAAAATCTGCATATGACTTTTTACATCCCCAAGACATAACTCCTAATGGCCAGCTGTTGATTGGAAGCTTTACCTATAGCATAACCAGTTTATTAACATATATTTTTGTATATTATATGTATTCTTACAATAAGGCAATATAGAGAAAAGAAAATGTTATGAAGAAAATCATAAAGAAGAAAGTGATATTTGCTCTCTTCAAGTGGAAATGGATTGTCATAAAGGTCTTTATCATCTCCACGCTGAGCAGGCTGAAGAGGAAAAGGAAGAGGAGGGATTGGTCTTGCTGTCTCAGGGAGGACAGAGGCAGAAGTAGAAGAGGTAGAAGGCGCACAATCCCTGTAACTTTGCAAAAATACGTTGTAATTTCTGTCTAACTTCTTTGCTTTTCTATCTCTCCAAAAAATGTTTCCCAGCTACTAGGGAGGCTGAGGTAGAAGTGATGGCTTGAGTTCAGGAGTTTGAGGCTGTGGTTCACTATGATGGCTCCTGTGAATAGCCATTGACCTCCAGCCTGGGCAACATAATGAGACCCCCTTCCTCTTTTTTTTCTCCTCCCTCACCCCCACATGAGGACACAATGAGAAGGGCACCATTTCCAACTCAAGAATATAGCCCTTACCAGAAACCAAGCACGTTGGCACTTTGATCTTGGGTTTTCAGTTTTCACAACAGTGAGAAAATACATTTCTGTTATTTAAGCCAGCCAGTCTATGGTGTCTTGCTATGTGGACATAGCTGACAAATACAGACTTTGGTACCAAGAGATGGGGTACTGTTGTAACAAATACCTCAAAATATGGAACTGGCTTTGGAACTGAGTAATGGGTAGAGGCTGGGAGAGTTTTGAGGTACATAGTAGAAATGTGATATTGAGGGCAATTCTGATGAGGTCTCAAATGGAAATGAGGAACATATTATTAGAAACTGGAGGAAAGATGATCCTTATTATAAAGTGGCAAAGAACTTGGCTGAACTGTGTACTCATGTTTATGGAAGAGAGAACTTGTGACTTCTGGAATTGGATAGTTGGATGAAGAACTTTCTAAAAGTTTTGAGGGAGCAGCTTGGTTTCTCCTGTACAGTAAAATGTGAAAGCAGAGAGATTAATTGAAGAAGGAATTATTAATCTTAAAGGAACCAGAACTTGAAGACTTAGAAAATTCTCAGCCTTTCCATATTGCAAAAAATGAGAAAGCATGTTCTGAAGAGAATACCAAGAATGTGGCTGCACGCTCACTTGATAATGAGTTTATCGGACTATCAAGGAGAAGCAGTGCCGGTTTGAACTGAAAGGGATGGAGATTGGAAGAAATGAAGGAAGGATGTTGGACTTCTTGGAGTTAACAGGACAATAGAGCTATTTGGCTGCTAACATGCAGTAATGTGCGCTTCTGGAAGAGGAAAAAATGACCCTCAAGGTGATTCAGAGATCATCAGGGCCACTGCCTTGATTTCAGCAAGCCAGTGGCCTCTGCCTAGAGCCTTGGGTGTGGGATCACATGGCAGAGCCTTGAGGGAAAGACCCCTGCTCAGCAGAGTCCCAGGGTTAGACCCACCTTAGAGCTATGGGGGTGATGCTACTGCTTCCATGGTCCCAGAGGTTAGAGCATTAAGTCAAAGAGTATTATTCTCTAGAGAGCCCCAGACTAACCCCAGACATGTAAAGACAACTAATTTTCAACACAGACACCAAGAGGATGCAATGGACAAAGAATAACCTCTTCAATAAATGGGGCTGAGAAAACTGTATTTGCATATGCAGAAGAATGAAATTCTTATACCATGCACAAAAATAAACTAAAAGTGGATAAAAAACCTAAGCACAAGACCTGAAAATATGAAACTCCTGGAAGAGAACATAGGAGTAAAGATCCTTGACAATGACCTTGGCAGTGATTGTTTTGGATATCATGCCAAAAGCTCAGGCTACAAAAGCAAAACTAAATAAATGGGACTACATCAAACTAGGAAGCTTCTGCACAGCAAAGGAAACAACAAAATGAAATGGCAACTTACAGATTAGGAAAATATATGTAGAAACCATATATTTGACAGGGGCTTAATATCCTAACTTTATAAAGAACTCATATAACTCAGAGGTATAAAAATACATACACCAGTTTAAAAATGAGCAAAGTACCTGAATAGACATTTCTCCAAAGCAGACAAAAAATGTCCAACAATTATATAAGAAGGTGCACAACATCATACATTATTAGAGAAATGCAAATCAGAACCACTATGCAATATCACCTCACATCCATTAAGACAACAATTATCAAAAATCCAAAAGATAACAAATGTTGGTGAGGGTACAGAGAAAAAGGAACCCTTGCACACTGTGAGTAGGAATGTAGATTGGTGCAACTATTATGGAAAACAATATGGAGTTTCCTTAAAAATTTAAAAATAGAACTGTCATTTAACCCAACCATCTCTCTTCTGGGCAGTAGACCCAAAGGAAATGAAAAGATATCTTATAAAGTATCTGCTCTCCCATGTTTATTGCAGCATTATTCACAGTAACCAAGATATGGAAACAACCTAAGTGTCCATCAACAGATGAATGGATAAAGAAATTGTAGTGATGCTGGGCTCAGTAGCTCAGCCTGTGATCCCAGCACTTTGGGAGGCTGAGGCGAGTGGATTGCCTGAGCCTGCGGGTTCGAGACCCACCTGGACAACATGGCGAGACCTTGTCTCTACAATAAATAAAAAATTAGCCGGGTATGATAGTGCACACCTGTAGTTAAGTTCATCAACCTTTTTAGAAGGCTGAGGCAGCAGGTTTGCCAGATTCCAGCAGATTGACACTGCGGTGGCTGTGAGTATGCCACTGCACTCTAGCCTGGGTGACGGAGTGAGACTCCAACTCAAAAATAAAAATTAAAAAAAAGAAGTTGTGGTGTATATATGTGTATGTGCGTACACATACACGCACACAAAATGGAATATCATTCAGTTTTTCAATAGCACTCAACTTTTAAAAAGGAGATCCTGCCATTTTCCACATGAATGAACCTGGAAGACGTCGTACTAAGTGAAATAAGCCAGATATAGAAATAAAAATATTGAATGATGTCTTTTAATATAGTGAGATCACTATAGTTAATAAAATTATACTGTATTTGGGATTCTTGCTAAATGAGCAGATTTTAGCTGCTCTTGCCACGTACACACACACGCACACGCACACGCACATACACACGTAACTGTGGGATGAAGGACACATTCATTTCCTTCACTACAGTAAGCATTTTTTTTTGAGTCATAGTCTCGACTGGAGTGCAGTGGCATTCTCACAGTCACCGCAGGCTCACCCTGCTGGGCTCAGGCGATCGTTCCGCCTCAGCCTTCCAAGTAGCTGGAACTACAGGCATGCGCCACCATGCCCAGCTAATTTTTTGATTTTATTGTAGAGATGAGGTCTCATCAAGTTGCCTAGGCTCATCTCGAATCCATGGGTTCATATAGTCCTCTTACCCTGACCTCCCAAAGTGCTGGGATTATAGGTGTGCCCAGCCTACAGTAAACATTTTACTGTCTATATGTATCCCATAATATTATGTTGTATACCTTAAATGTACACAGTAAAATTATTTTAAAAACAAAACACCGCCAGGCTCGGTGGCTCAGCCTGTAATCCCGCGCCTTTGGGAGACTGAGGTGAGTGGATTGCCTGAGCCCGTGAGTTCGAGACCCGCCTGGGCAGTGAGACCTCATCTCTACAATAAATCAAAAAATCAGCCGGGCGTGGTAGCACCTGCCTGTAATTCTGGCTACTTGGAAGGCTGGGGTGGAAGGATCGCCGGAGCCTAGCAGGTCGAGGTTGCGGTGGCCGGGAGTTGCCACTGCACTCCAGTCTGGGTGACAGAGTGAGACTCCAACTCAAAAACAAAACAAAACAAAAACAAAACACCAAGATAATTGTTTGAGTCTTAAGAGCTAAACCTTGGTACATTTTGACTTGCCAGGACTTGTTATTCCTTCCTTCTTTCCTGTTTCTCTTGGAATTGCAATGTCTGTCCCATCCCTGTCCCACCCCTGTATTTTGGAATCACATAGCGTCTCTGGCTTTAGGGGTTTACATCTGCAGGGGAATTTTGCCTTGGGATGAATTGTATCTTGTGTCTCACCCATATCTGATTGAGGTGAGATTTTTGGACTTTAGAGATGCCTGGGGCTCTTGGGATGAAATGAATATATTTTACATGTTAGGATATGTATTAGTAGGGGTGAGGCGGGTAGGGGCAGAATGCTGTACAGTGAATTGTTTCTCCCCCAAATTCATAAATTCTTCAATTCAAAATTCTTAAGTTCATCAACCTTCATCAACCCATTTATTGGTATTTGGAGATGAGGCCTTTGGGAGGTAATTAAATTTTAGATGAGCTCATGAGAGTGGGGCCCTCTTGATAGGATTAGAGTCCTTGTAAGAACACCCCAGAGAGCTTGACATCCTCCGCACCCCCACCAGTGTGAGCCACAAGCAAGAAGGTGGGTATCTGCAGTCCAGGGAGAGAGCCCTCACTGGAAACGGACCATGCTGGCACCTTGACCTTGGATTTCCAGTCTCCAGAACTGTTGTCACACAGTCTATGGTGTTTTGTTATGGCAGCCTGAGCTAATACACTTCTCTGTGCTTCATTTCTCTCATCTGTAAAATGGGAATAATTAAGACCTGTAAAAATTGGTTATGTTGATGATCAAATGATACAATATTATGAAGAACATTTAGAATGTCACCAGGCATGTGCAAAGTAGATGGAAGTGTTTGCTACTGTCACACCATTGCCATTGCTTATTAGAATATTTTATGGCAGCTGGGTTCGGTGGCTCAGCCTGTAATCCCGTGCCCTTGGGTGGCTGAGGTGAGTGGATTGCCTGAGCCCACGGGTTTGAGACCTGCCTGGGCAATTTGGCGGGACCTCATCTCTACAATAAATCAAAAATCAGCCGGACATGGTAGCGTGCGTCTGTAGTTCCAGCTACTTGGAAGTCTGAAGCGGAAGATCGCCAGAGCCCAGCAGGTCGAGGCTGCGGTGGCTGGGAACGGCCACTGCACTCCAGTCTGGGCGACAGAGTGAGACTCCAACTCAAAAAAAAAAGAAAGAATATTTTATGACAACAGTTCTTTAGCATGTGGCAAAATTACCTAGAGGGTTTGTTGTGAAAGAGTTTCTGATGCAGTGAATCAGGGTTGAGGCTTGAGTATTTATGTTTCTAACCCTTCCCAGATAATGTTTATACTGATGATTCTCAGACCAGACATTGACAGCTTTTATTGTTAAAGAAGTTTGTGTGCATGTATTACTTGAATTTTTTTTTAAGCTGCCAAACAAGTGTTTCAGGTTGTAAAGACAATACTGTTTCTTGCTTTGATGAGTTTCAACTTACTCCACCATTTTTTCTTCAAAAATGTTTCAAAACCTTTATTATTATTTGCCTCAGAAATATTAAATTTCTTATCTACATAGTGTTGAAATTTGTAATGGGAAGCTGACTTTATTTGGTTTTCTTTTCTACATATGATGGAAAAGATAAAACCATGAGAAAGAAATTTGTTGTATTTTCGATTTTATTTGTTTCAAGGATATTTGTCATTGCTTGTTGAAACATTTTTTATGATAAGTGCTTTAAAACCCTTGTCAGGTCTACCTACACCTATGTAGTGCTAATTCTGATGTCTGATTATTCTTTTCTTATTTAAGGTGGGATTTTCCTGGACTTGGTATAATGTGTGATTTTTTTTCTATCCTAGATGTTATGGACATTATGTTATAAGACTCTGGATCTTATTAAAATACTGTGAGCTGGGCATGGTGGCTCACACCTATAATCCTAGCACTTTGGGAGGTTGAGGTGGGAGGATTGCTTCAGCCCAGGAGTTGGAGACCAGCCTGGGCAACATAGCAAGACCTCATCTCTACCAAACAAAATTTTAACAATTAGCCAGGCATGGTGGCACTCACCTGTAGTTCCAGCTACTCAGGAGGCTGAGGTGGAAGGATTGCCTGTGCCCAGGAAGTAAAGGCTGTGGTAAGCCGTAATTGTGCCACAGGACTTCAGCCAGGGCAATGAAGTGAGACCCCAACTCAAAAAAAAAATGTATTAGCGGTAGGGGAGGGAAGCACTACTGCCAGGTAGAGATGAAGGTCCACATGGCACTCTGCCTCCTTCTACTCCCTGGGTGGGGGAGGGGGAATTAGGTAAGGGTGCTCATTACTGGGTGAAGGTGGGATTTCGAGCACCCCAGTAGGCTTCTGCTGACACCTGCCTACTTGTGAGGGGAGGGGATGTCGTGTGACTGCTCCCTGCTCCTGCTTGGTTGGGAATTTGTTATCTCCAGATAGGGACAGACTCCAAACACTGTCTTCTCTGATAACACCCAGTGTGAGGGGTGGACTGGGAGGGGGCACCTCATTACAGCCAGCCGAGGGTGGTAGCCCAGGCTCTCATTCAGCCTGTGGAGCCGGGAGTGAGGCCAAGATTTGCTCCCTTGTGATTGACTGGATTATTACTGTCTTTGGCTCGAGAGAGCAGGTTATTCTCGGGCCTTTGTGTGCTTCTTTTGGCGTTTCTGGGTTCCCAGCCTCTCCAGCACCTAGCCCAGGATGTGGGAGGCGAAAGCAGTTTCTGGCATCCTGAGATCCCTAGCCCATCTTCGTTCTTCTCTCCAGCTCTTTATGTTCATTTTCTATGTCACGTTTCAGGGTTTTTAGCTGTATGTAGCAGGAGGAATAGAGAGAATCTATGTACTTGCTTTTAAAATTATTTTTTATGAAATAATTTTGACCTTCCTAGCAATTTGCATCAGAAAAAAAATGTATTCTAATCTGTAAAGCAACAGGCTTCCTTTGCTTGTGAATATTCCAAAGCCCAATTAAAAACATATCAGTAATGCTTAAAATAAAGAGACGGGAATATTATAAACCATTAAAATAACATGGTAGACTTGAATTTATTGACATGAAAAAAGAGTCACAATGTAATTTGTGAAAAACAGGCTTCAAAATAATAAGTTTGGTGCTAACTTTATAAGGATGTATATAAAAATATATGTGCATAGGTGAAAATTGGGAATTTTTTTAAAGGTATATATCTCTTGGAAGATAGAAATTTTGTGTTTATTATCTCTTTGTTCCTTGAGCCTTGTAATTCTTTTTTTTTTTTTTTTTGAGTCGGAGTCTCACTCAGTCGCCCAGACTGGAGTGCAGTGACCGCTCTCGGCCACCACAGCCCCAACCTGCTGGGCTCCAGCGATCCTTCTGCCTCAGCCTTCCGAGTAGCCGGAATTATAGGCATGCGCTACCACACCCGGCTGATTTTTTGATTTATTGTAGAGATGAGGTCTCGCTACCCAGGCGGGTCTCAAACCCGCGGACTCAGGCAATCCACTCACCTCAGCCTCCCAAAGGTGCGGGATTACAGGCTGAGCCACCAAGCCCGGCTCTGTAATTCTTTTTGTAGAAAACATTTATTATTTTTAAATGCTTAAAAATAAGTTTGAAATGTTTTTATTTACATTGAATAAAAATATTTTTCACAGTATTCTTGTCATTGAAATATTGTAATTTTTTGTTTCAGAATTCATAATCTACTTGTGTCTGTGATCATTATGTTTAATATCTTGCAGGTTCCTCTACCTGGCATGAAATGGGTAGATAATCACAAAGGGGTTTTCAATGTTGAAGTTGTTGCTGTTTCATCTATTCATACACAAGTGAGTTTTAATAATCTTTTCATGGTCAGATTTCATTTAAATGTACTAAACATGCTGTCTAGTATTTATGTCAGTTTTATTACCTGCTGTCAGGTTTATGGGATTATATATCTGTTAAAAATATAAGTTTAGAAGTTTTTTTTAAGGAATCAGCAAAATGTCATTGAATGTCAACAAAAATTGCTTTTAAAAATGTGATTGACTTCATCTTGAATAATTAAGTGACTGGTTTTTTCCAAGTTTCTGTTACATGCTGAATAATTAGAATTGAGAAATCATTGTCTCCTTACTTTATTTCTCACCTTACTCTATTTCAAATGAAAAGAGTTCTTAGGCATCATTTTCTCTAAATTCTTTACTTCTGGAACATCCCAAGTTCTCCCTCAATGTTTATACTTCTTCTGGCTGGGTGCTTTCCCCCAGTGTTCATCTGCTTTCTCCTCACCTCAGAGAGGCCTTCCTAGTGGCTCTTTGAAACCTCACAGCCCCATCTCTCTGTCAGCTTACCCTGCTCTTATTGTTGCCTACCCTTCCCCCTTTTGCTCTTTGACTCCCTCTCATTCCTTGTGTGTATGCGCGCGTGCACACACACATACTTACGTACACATTTGTTTATTGTTTATTTCCTCCATTAGACTGTAAGTTCTGTGAGATTGGAGAGGTTACTGTCAAGGAATGAGCCTTTTCTTCAAGGACCTTACAGTGTAATAGGGGAAAGTATAGAAGTAATTATAACATGATAAAATTAGTACTGTGTTACATATGTTAACTGGATTATTTCAAGTGAAAATCAGAGAGTTATCTGTTCTACTGGGGACTGAGATGTTGCATTGATAAGCAGGCATTTACCATATAGAGAAAGGGAGAGTAGGTACCTCAGATGATGAAACAGCAAGTGCAAAGTGCCAGTAGTCTGTATTTAAGGACTGGCAGGTAATCTGATGTGAAAGCAATTTAATGTGCATAGGAAGTCGTGATATCTGAGGCTAGAAGACCAGGCTGGTAATAGATTATGAAGAACCTTGAGTACTGTGGAGTCCAGGTAGATAGAAATGTCTAACCTAAGTAGAGAATATGAGAGAAATAAATGTGGGGGCATGCTAAGAGAGCAGTTACGGTACTGTCAGAGTTTATTTCTGGACCTGTTGAGTTTGAAGGGCCTCTGCACTTCAGATAGAGATGTTCTGTAGGCAGTTGTCATTAGTTTGGGGTTGGAGGTAACAGAATGAATATGATAACTGGAACTATACTGATAAGTGTGGTTTTTCTAGGAAGAAAATAAAGAGTGAAAAGAGGCAAGTGGGATTCAGGACTTCCCCGACCTATAAAGGGAAAGGATTGTGTGGAGGGCTTCCCAAGCTGCCTCAGGTTCAGCGATTTGCTAGGAGGACTTACAGGACTCAGCATAGTCACACTTACAGCTCTGACTTATTTTAGTAAAGAGTAGGAAGCAGCATCAGACAGGGAAAAGGCACAGAGAATGAAGTCGAAGAAAACAAGCTTCCAAGAATCCTATCCCAGTGGATTCACACAGGGCGAGTTGAAACAACATATGTGAAATGTGTCTGCCAGGGACGCTCTGGGGGCTTGTCACTTAGGCACCCTCTGCCTAACACATACCAAAATTCCAGACTCGCAGAAGGAAAGCAGGTGTTCAGCTTAAGCTTTGCACTGACAGTTTAGGTCCAGTGAGCCATCCCCTGTCAGTGGGAACCCTTTTGACATCCAAGTTCCTAGACACCAGTCGAAGGCCAACCTTGTAAGCAGGCCTTTCAGAAATAGCAGTCTTAAGCCTGCTAAGTAAGTTCTTTTTGCATAGTGAGATAGGGGAACTAATAAGACACAGCATCTCTTACTACCGGGGGTGGGCAGGAGCACATAACACTAATAAGGGTACTTGATCCCAAGCCAGGCGAAGTGATGACCAATGGAAGGTCCAAATTTTACCTCCACAATGGCCACTTATGTACCTAGCCCTGAATTGTATCTCACATCTTTAAAATAAAAAACAAAAAGACACAGCACCTCTATACTATCTTTAGAAAAAAATTGGTAGTATATGGGTTTTATTTAGCGGTACACAGGTCGACTCCACGAAGAAAATGACTCCAGTTTTACAAAATATGGCAAAGATGATGGGTTTGGAAGCTGAGAAACAATAAATTTATAATGGGTGCAGGTAGGTTACCAGGATACCTGCCGCAATAATTGAGCTCTAAATAAATAAACTCAAACAACAAAAAAAGTCTTAATTTGTATTAATAGATTTCTTGAGTAGCTAACAGTATTTGAAGTGATCATTTTACAATAATAAATGAAAGTATGTGTGTTTAATTAGAAATAATGTTTTTATATACCTATATATACCTTTTAATGTTATCAGTTAATATGCGATATTAATGGTCCATAGTCCTTTAGGGTGGGGATGTTTTCAGATTCATAATTGGTTCGTGTCTGTGTTCATTCTTTGTTTTAGGATCCTTACCTTGACAAGTTTTTTGCTCTGGTCAATGCTCTGGATGAACACATGTTCCCAGTCCGAATTGGAGACATGCGAATCATGGAAAACAACTTAGAAAATGAATTGAAGAGCAGTATTTCCGCACTGAATTCATCTCAGCTGGAGCCAGTGGTTCGATTTCTTCATCTGTTGCTTGATAAACTGATACTTTTAGTTGTCAGACCTCCTGTCATTGCTGGCCAAATAGGTAATTTACTTTTTTGTTTGGAGAGGAATCATGAAATTTATAACTTGGCATTTCTAACTTTTGTTTTAAAAAAAAGAAGAACCACCATGATTTCTGTTTGCTGTCTACAAGTCTATAAGGACTATGTTTGATTGGAGAAGTGTTGTCATTTACTTGATTCTAATGCCAGAAAATAATAACTTTTTAAAAAAATTTTTTTAAAGAGACAGGGTCTCACTCTGTCGCCCAGGCTGGAGTGCCATGGTGTGGTTATAGCTCACTGCAATCTCACACTCCTGGGCTAAAGCAATATTCTCCTGTTTCAGCCTCCCAAGTAGCTAGGACTACAGGCATGTGCTCCTGCTCCTAGCTCATTTTTATTTTTTTATTTTATGGAGACAGAGTCTCACTTTGTTGCCCAGACTGGTCTCAAACTCCTGGCCTCAAGCAGTCCTCCCACCTCAGCCTCCCAAATCCCTGGGATTACAGGCATGAGCTACCATGCCCAACCTTTTTTTTTTTAATGAAATGTGCCATGTAGACTTCTACTCAACTGTGGAAACAAGTTACTTTATTCAGTTACCAAATATTTCTTAAGTACTTACCAAGTACCAGACACTGATAGGCACTGTCCAAGGCATGATTCCTGACTTTATTTTTATTTATTTATTTTATTTTATTTTTTTATTCAATATTTTTTATTATGATATTGTGGGGTACAGTTAGGGGTTAGGTATACAAATATGCTTCGTTCAGGCACCCTTGTTGATAAGAGGTGTCTCCCCATCCCCAGACAGATATTTACCACTGTTAATCCCATCTCCCTTCCCTCCCCCCCCCATAGTTTCCCACCACTGTCAGTCATTTTCTTATAGTATTACATTGGATGTTCAAGGTCCACTATATGAGTGAGAGCATGTGATACTCAGATCTTTGTTTCTGTGAGAGGTCACTCAGTATTATAGACTCTAGTTCCATCCAGGCTGCTGCGAAATTCATGATTTTGTTCTTTTTTATGGCTACATAGTATTCCATTGTGTATATGTACCACATTTTTAAAATCCAGTCCTCTTTTGATGGACAGCATGGTTGCTTACAGGTTCTTGCTATTGAGAAAAATGCTGCGATAATCATACATGTACAGGTATCTATAGAGTCATTTGAGTTCTTCAGGGTGATTCCTGACTTTGAAATCTCAGACACTAGCTGAGAAAACAGGCAAACAAATCATGGTACATTTTACAAGATGTATAATGTACCTTGTTTACATTCTCATTCGTCTGCGATCCTCCATTTAAGATGACTCTTCTTTCCTTCATTTGCTCAAAAGCACGATATTCTTTTTTTTCTGTGTTGTCCTGAGAGGTGTTCCTCATTCCTACTCTTTTCCAGGGTTTATTCCCTTATTTTTCCCAATAGCTTTCACCTGAGTCCTTTCTTCAAGTTACGTTTCAAGTTAAGCTAGAAAGAAATTTCAGCTAACCTTTTATAGAACTTTTGTGTAGTTTGATGGCACACAAGGAGAGGAGCTTTTAATTACTTGAGTTTTTTTTTTTTTTAGGAGAGACTTATAAGTAGAGGTAATTCTTGGGTCGAGCACTTAAAGATGAATAGGAATCTGACAGATAAATGTTATTCCAGGGAAATGAAACTGCATGTGCGTAGTACACAGACAGATAAATGAATGTAGAATGAATTTGGGGGAGGAACTGTAATTAATTATAAAATAGAGGATTGATTAGAGGTGATATGGGGGGGCGAAGTAGGGTCTTCCATGACATTTGAGGAAAGACGAGATCTTTGAAGGACCTTGTCTTAATTAGGAAAGTAACGCGACCAAGTTTGCTTCGTTGATGCTAAGTGGAGATGGGTTGAAGGTGGGAGAGCCTGGAGGGAGGGAGACACATTAGGAGTCTTGCAGAATTTCACACAAAAAATGATGGGTCCTGATGAAAGGCAGGTGAGATGGGTTGGGGAAGACAGGACGAGTCACAAGATCATAAAGAATACTGTTACAGAAGTGGTAGGAGAAGGAAAACAAGGTTAGCATATTTTGTTTTCGATTGTATAAGTAAAATAATAGTAGTAACAGTAATACAGATACTTACATTGCACTTACCACACACCAGAAATAGTGCTCTGTGATTTATTTATATTAACATATGAAATCCTTGGAACAACTTGATGTAGGGGTATCTTGATTACCCCTTTTTTTTTTGAATGAGTAAAGTGATGAACATAATGCTTAGGAGTTTCACTTGGGGTCCCTCAGCTAGTATGGCAGAGCTAAGGTGTGAATGGGCTCCAGATTAACAAGAATAGTTTTAGTGTAAGTGAAGATAGAAGCCAGATTACAAGGAATTAAGGAGTAAACAGATGATGAAAGGAATACAAGAAGCATATGTGACTCTTTAAAGAAATTTAGTTAGAAGAGAAAGCAGGGTTGAGTAGGGCATAAGAGCGGAGAGATTTGGGTATGTTTACATGCTGCAGGAAACCAGTTGGGAAAAGGAGAAAATACATGAAGTGAGAGAGGGTTATGAAGCACGTCTGTGTACAAGAGTGGAAGTGGGTAGATCACTATTATATGGAATAGGCGAACTGCTTCCATTGGAAAGGGAATAAAGTAGTTGCAAATTCTTATAAATTTATGGAAAATCTTGAAGCTTTCATGCTTTATACATTACTTTTGTGAGATAGAAGGTGAGGTGTTTAGAATGGAGTAAGGAGTTCCTGAGTTTTGAGAAGGTTTCTGACGATTTGGAATAGCTACTATGCGAAAAAGGAAAAGAAGTTAACCAGGAACATGGATAGGATTGCTAAAGTCCTCTCAGGTTTCTGACTCTAGTCATTTCTTCTAGTTCAGTATATTATAGATTAATCTTCCTGAATGACTATTTTATGATTATTCTACTTTTGGAAAACTTAATTGCCTCATTATCTGTTCATAGTTTTCTGCCTTGATGAAATAAATCATGAGGTCCTATTTCTCACACTGGCTGTTTAGTTCACCCATTTGTTCAGTGTGTAATCTCAGAATTCCCCAATTTTTACCAAATTCTTGTTACATACTGACTTGAATGACTAAGTAGGTATTGCTTAGCCTGGCACTTCAAATACTATATGGTCATACCTCAACCTGTTTTTTTAGCCCTATGTATAGTTCTTCTAATCCTCGTATAGGTTCACTCAAGTTGCTTATTCACTGTTTCCTTTTCTTATTAAGTTAATATTTTCAGAAATTTATTTTTATGATTGCTATTTGTAGTTTTTTTAAACAAAAGTAATATTTGCTCATTGTTTGCTGTTTAGATTTTGAGAGTCAAGTTTAAAATGAGAAGCTGCTCCTCAAGGTGTTATACAAGATGAATTTCTTTTTCCTTATCATGTACTTGGAATTGTTTTCTAAAATAATGGATATCTGTTGGGCAGTGCTTTATTTTTTGGCTAATAAAACCCAGGCAATTTTTAGATTAAATTAGTGTAATGAGTTTTTTCTCATTTTGTTTAGAAAAGTATTTTTGGTTTAGCTAATAGAAGATGTCATTAAAATCAATCTCAAATAACAATCATCTTTATGCATTTACTGGGTGTAATCACTATTCTTTTTTTTTTTTGAGTTGGAGTCTCACTCTGTCGCCCAGACTGGAGTGCAGAGGCCACTTCCGGCCACCGCAGCCTCAACCTGCTGGGCTCCGGCGATCCTTCCTCCTCAGCCTTCCAAGTAGCCGGAATTACAGGCATGCGCTACCACGCCCGGCTGATTTTTTGATTTATTGTAGAGAGAAGGTCTTGCTGCCAAGCCGGGTCTCGAACCCGCGGGCCAGGCAATCCACTCACCTCAGCCTCCCAAAGGCGCGGGATTACAGTCTGAGCCACCGAGCCCGGCGTAATCACTGTTCTTAAAGCATGTAGATATGACAAGACATTGCTCTTCATGGAACTTACACTCTAAAAAAGTTAAAGCAAAACTATTTTCCTCCTTCTTAAAAGTCAATCTAGGTCAAGCATCTTTTGAAGCCATGGCATCAATTATAAATCGACTTCACAAGAACTTGGAAGGAAACCATGATCAGCATGGCAGAAACAGCCTTCTTGCATCATATATTTATTATGTTTTTCGCCTACCAAATATGTACCCTAACTCACCATCACCAGGTATTTTATTCATTTTACCATGAAACTGTCTTTCGTGAATTACATGTTCATGGCAGTATTGAGATAACTTTGTAGTCTATAGTGTAATGCATTCCTGCAATAGCAAACACTTATTGAGTACCTGCTAAGCACCTTCACTGTGCTGGCTAGATGCTGGAATTAAAGGGATAAGTAAGTTATGTTTTTTAGACATTGTTATTTATATAACTTCTTTTTTTGTTGTTGTTTTTGAGAAAGTAGGATTTATTAAGAGGACAGAAACGCTCCCACAGTGGGAGGGGCCCTGAGGAGGTTGCCCTATATAGCTTCTTTTCATTTGAATTAGAGATAGTAGTTGAGGCAATTCTTGGAAATGAACCTTGAAAATAACTTCTCATGCCTCTGGAAGCATTTTATCAGTCCTTGTTAAGATAAGATAAGTAGAATCTTATATTTGTCATTCAGAATGCTGTTGGACATTAGAGAAGAAATATGGTGGCTCCCTAGTTCCCCCAAGCCTTATGAAACCTACAATATTATAAAAGATTGTTCTCTGTAAAAGTTCTGATTTCTTCATGGTAATAAGATAATATAACCTTTCTGAGCATTGGAGCCCCAAGTAGTTACTTGTCTTTTTTTTTTTATAACATTGGTGATAGTGGAGCAGTGATGGGTGATGTCTTAGTTTGAATAACCCTTTAGTTGTTCATTTAGTCAGCTCATGATTTTGTCATGCATACTTTTCAGCCTGCTCATATATTTGTCTGTATGACACAAGTGATAATGGTAAGTACGCTTTACCAACTATTGTCAACATTGACATTGATAATGGTGACAAATAATTGTGACATTCATTATGAAAACCAGGCATAATAGAAATCTGATTATAAGTTTTAACCCACTTTGTTTCTTTACTTAGTTGCAAAAAGAGAAACAACTGGTTCTTATATTCTGGTTTATAATTTTTTATCTTGATTTTTAGATTATACTATTCAAGGCCGTGAGTGTGCGTGTGTGATTTCGGAGTATCTACAGTGCTCTTTCATTTACTCTTTCATTCAATACATTATTAGAATACCACAGGTCTTTTAAAACGTCTTTGTTACAGTTGACCTGAAAAATCATATAAATTGATTAGTTAACAAGTGTGTATCATTTGCAAATATGACGTCCAGAAATATTTCCATACATTGGAAAAATGGAGATAGATTATGGATATATTTGCTGCATATTTTTGTATTCACAGAATGTGGTTGAAAGATGGTTGATTTTAGTCATACAAAAAGGAATTATTTACTTCTTTAATATAACCTGAGCTCTTAGAATTATCTTTGGTTTTTTGTATGCGTATAATTAAGATGCCATTTTGTTATTGTTCCAATTGTCACTTATGAAGATAGAGAAATAAAACATGGTCTTGTTAAGAGGTGTTAATAGATTGGCTCTCCCTCCAATGACTGTGTATTAAGGAGCAGAGTAGGAGGAATGGGGAAAAAGGAAGAGACATCAGCTGAGGCATTTTGAGTCCTATATACAGCTATACCTAAGTGAAAGGGGAGTGTGTGTGTTTCCTGTTAATTTTGAGCTGCCATAAAATAAAATATCTTTGTGTAGCTATCATTAGTTCTTGAGTGTTTTTCTTTTCTTTTCTTCTTACAAAATTTATATTATTTTTTATTTGGAAACAAAAGCAATTTATGATCTTGGTGAAATTTTGTAAAGTGGCAGAGATTTTTTTCAGGTTCTTCCTGGCCAATTTTTTTTGTTTAATTATGTGCTGTTTTACATGCAATTCTAGGTCCTGGAGGTCTGGGAGGATCAGTGCATTATGCCACAATGGCTAGATCTGCTGTGAGACCTGCAAGCCTTAACTTAAATCGTTCTCGGAGCCTTAGTAATAGTAACCCAGACATATCTGGGACTCCCACGTCACCAGATGATGAAGTTCGGTCAATCATCGGGAGTAAGGTAAACATTCATTTTATGAACAGTGAGAAATAGCCAATGTTTTAATTTAATCTGAATCTTGAGATGTGTATAAGTTAGAAATAAACAAGAAATAATACATTTCTGTTCTATCAGTAAATACCAAGTGTTTCACGTTTCTATTAAATAGGCTTGCTATTATAAACTGGTTTGTTACTCTGCTAAAAAAAAAAAAACTGCCAAATTCCAAAATTTGTCTGGGATGACTAGTCACAGAATCTACTGTTATCTGTCTGATACTCCATCATGTGAAAAGTGGCTAGATCGACTTCCTGTAGAATTAAGAGACCTATGTGACTGATGTGTAGAAGAGACACATCATCATTGATTTCACTTATGATGATTAACCTTGATTGGTGATAGAACTACATTTCACATGAAACTCTGTGTAAGGTACACCAGGATTAGAAAAGTGTGATTTATTTAGTGATAGTTAGTGATTATCCCAGACAATAAAGGAGAGGCTAGCTAGCATAAGATCCAGCTATATTTTATTCAAAGCGTCCATCTTTATTACACCCCCAACATAATTTAGGAACAAATAGTTAATATCTTTCATATGCAAAGTGTAAAATAACTCAGAGTTTAAGCAAGCTGGACAAAAGCCCAGTAAGACTGAGGCCAAGAAATCACATCATGTTGTATTTTGGTCAAGCTATTGAAAACTTACATTTTGCTGCTGGAAAGAGGAAGATATCCTTTTCAAAGCACCAGAGCCAACGGTTCTTTGATATTTTAGTCAATTAATTAGAATATGAGAAAGAATTAATAAACGTCTTCTAGAGTCTACGTTTAAATCTTAGCCTGAACTACAGTAGAACTTTTAAAGGTCTGGGTTGGTTTGTTTGTTAGGGGAAACTTGAACGTTGATCAAAAATAGCAGAACTACTCATATAGTTTATAGTTACAGAAATACATATATAGCTCATACAGTGATAGAAATTTTACTTTCAGAAGCCTTTACATTAATGATTGTTCATTCCTATTAAGCATAGCTCATTTTTAAGTAACTTCTTACAGATCAAAAATATATTTTTGAGGGCTTATAACTTAAATAATAAATTAAAACATGGGTTTCAATACGTAAAGATCCATATAAATGTTTCTCTAATTAAAGAACTTTCACTTTTTGTGAGCTTTTAAAGAGAATGATGTGCAAATAAATTTTTATAGGATATTGCAGAGTAACCTGAGTAATATGGCAATTGCAAAAAAGAAAGCTACACACACACACACACACACACACACACACACACACACACACACACACACTCTTCCATGTTTAGGAAAAGAACTCAGGTTTCTAATTCTTGTTTTCTTTTAAATAGAGATGGAGTCTTGCTATGTTGCCCAGGCTGGTCTTGAACTCCTGGCTTCAAGTGATCCTCTCACTTTGGCCTCCCAAAGTACTGAGATTACAGGCATGAGCCACCATGCTCAACCTTTTTTTTTTTTTGTAGTCATTCTTGATCATATTCTGTAATATGTAATATTATAGTATAATAAAGGCAGTACCTAGCATTATTTACATATGGTAAATTACAGTTATTAAATAGAATAAATCTGATTGTCTCTTAATTTCTGTAAGATTTACATTATGACTGACTTAGCATAATTCTAGAGTTTTTCCTTATATATTTGATAGATTATAGCCTCAAGATTTAGAACAAAGAAATCTATAAATATTAGAATAAATGTTAACCTTTTTTCAATATGTTCATTAAATGGAACATAATAATTTTAGATATATATATATGAATATAAACTAGTTTTTGAGAAAGCCATTGCAAAATGAGTCTTGTCCTAATCAAGTTTTTTTTAAAACAATTTTTATGTTGTTTTTCTTTCTTATTGTAAAATTTTTGGTGGCTAACTTTCATATTGGATTATCATTTAGTTCTAATCCCTAATAACATTAGAGTATCATTTTATCTCAAAATTACAAGGGATTTGAAGTTTATTTATATCTTTTCCTAGTTTATTTCTTTTGGACATGGTGTCTCACGCCTGCAATTTCAGCACTTTCGGAGGCCAAGGCGAGAAGACTTCTTGAGCCCAGGAGTTTGAGACCAACCAGACAACATATGAGACCTTGTCTCTACAAAAACCAAAAAAATTAACTGGGCATGGTGGCACATGCCTGTAGTCCCAGCTACTTAGGAGACTGAGGCGAGAGGATCACCTGAACCCAGAAGGTTGAGGCTGCAGTGAACTGTGATCGTGCCACTGCCCTCCAGCCTGGGTGACAGAGTGAGACTCCATTTCAAAAAAAAAATTGTTTTTATTTTATTTACCTGGCAATTGAAGAAACTCTTCTTGTTTAATAATCTTACCTTCCACTCTGCCTCAGCCGTAGTCCTACCTTAGATCTTGTCATTACCAGTAACATTAACCCTCATTATGTCAGTTTCATACATTTTGTTCTCTGACAATTATCTCCTATTTTTCACTCTAGTACCCCAACTCGACAACTCCTTACTCCTTTGTCATGTCTAATCTCTTGATCCTATGACCTTTTTCCTGTGCCTCACCCCATAGTGTTCTGTCTTCTTCCTTAGCCAGCTTGATGTCCTTGACCAATCAATACAATTATTCTCCCATCATAATCAAACCTCAATTCCCTCATGTTTTCCGACTCTGAAACCATACTTAAACCCAGTTGACTGCCTATGCCTTTCAGCACGTGGGCAGCTGAACGTGGCTTAAGGAAGACCCTGGTGACTAGTCTCACTTGAGATGAACCTCAAGAGAGCCCTTAACGCTGTCAGGCAATTATACTGTATTTCTGTATGTCTTTCACTTTCTTTCTTTTTTTTTTTGAGTTGGAGTCTCACTCCGTTGCCCAGACTGGAGTGCAGTGGCACGCTCACGGCCACCCCAGGGTTGACTCACTGGGCTCCGGCCATCTTGCCGTCTTAGCCTTCCAAGTAGCCAGAACTACAGGTGTGTACTACCATGCCCAGCTAATTTTTTATTGTAGAGATGAGGTCTTGCCAGGTTGCCCAGGTGGGTCATGAACTGTGGGCTCAGGCAATCCACTCACCTCGGTCTTCTAAAGCACTGGGATTACAGGCTGAGTCATTGAGCCCGGCCTGTCCTTCACTTTCTTATTCTCCCAGAAAATGATTTTTTTTGTTACCTCAAACCTCCCAACACTTCTCCCCCTATCCTCCTTCTCATTGTATCTCCTCTTTCATTGAGAAAACCAAAGCCCTCAGAAACTTTCATAGATTTTCACGTCATATCTACCTGCCTGCTAACGTCTATTATCTACTACTTAATACTGTGCTAAGATGAATCATTCATTTTTCTAAATCCATTTCTTTCACTTTATGTAAGCTCTCATCCCCTCCCACGAACTTAGGATCCTCGCTGCTGCAGTGTTTTCCTATTTCTCCTACATCATCAGTTTGTCCTTATACACATTCCTATCATTCCTGTCTATATACAGACCTGCTGTTATTTTTTTCTCATTTAAAACATGCCTCTCTAGTAGTTCCACTGCTACCCTTTCTGTTTCTCAGCTGCCTTTGGTGGCAGAAATCTGTAAGAGTTTTCCATACTTGCTATCTCCAGTTTTTTTACTCCGTTCGCTTTACTTCAGTCAAATATTCCTCCTGTCTCCCACCAAAACTGCCCTTGTTCAAGTCACCAGTGCTCTTTATGTTGCCAGACTCAGTGGTTAATTTTCAGAACTCCACTTACTTAACCTACCAGCAGCTTTTGATACAGTTAAATTCTTTTTTCACTTTGATCGATTCTATTTATTTGGCTTCCAGGATACCTGGTTTTCCTCTTAGTTTACTGGTTATGCCCTTTCTTCTCTGTGGATTCTTCCTTTTCTGGCCTTTTTATGTGGAAGTGCTCCAGTCCTCTGTCCTTGTTTCCCCCGTCTTTTCTCTACATTTACTTGATGATCTTATCAAGTTTCATGGCTTTAAACACCATATAAATGTTATGCTAATGTCTTCCAAAATTATATTTTTAGTCCAAATCTTTCTCTGGAATTCTAAACTTAGCTGCTTTTAGTAAATCCTTTTGTTCAGTTTTGGTTATATATTATATAAAACACAGCCACTGTTTCCCATTTCCATTACTACCATCTTGGTCTGATGAATTAATGTAAAGGCTTACAGAGGATTTCCTTGCTTCTGCCTACACTCGGTTCACAACAAGACAGCCAGGATGTTGCTTTAAAACCCAAGATACACCAGAAAATTAAGTCAGATTATGTCTGACTTATTCCTGAGCACTCTCTTCCTATGACTAACTGCCTCAGCCCAGGGGGCTGCCTTCTCAGGGGTCTACTCTGATGATCTTGTTTAAATGTATAACCAGCCTTGGCCCTAGGACCTCTAATCCCCTTTTTCTGTTTTGGATGTTTTTTTTGGGGGGGGGGGGGGCTGTTGGTGGTTGGTCTTGTAACACCTAAAATTCACAAATATTTATGTAATATAAACTGGCTTTCATTACTTTAGTGGCTGTAAAAACATGAGACTTTTTTCATATGTATTTTACCAAAACTGCCTGTACTTTCTTAGTCCTAACAATAGTCTTCAACATTCAATTATGTAAACATGTGGTTTGCATCACTTTTAATCAATTGCCAGTGGAATTTTACATTGATAGTTTCTTTTTCAAATATCATCTTTTTTTTCCCATTCATTTCAAACACTGAGAGCTTACTTACTATGTGCTAGGCACCATGCTGAGAATTTATGGATATAAAGCCAGATCTTTATAGCATGAGTGTTGATGTGAAATCAAGTACAGTAAGAGCCTTGCTTGAAGAGCTTACCTTTATCTAAGGGACAAAATTAACAATGTTACTGAGACTTGGCCAAAAAGAAACACACACATATGTATGTGCACACCTTTGATTCATCTGTTCTTTGTTAGTTGGAGATTAGAAAACAAAGTTATTGCATTAGTAAATAGCAGTGATGAATTTGCTTAACTAAGGACTATTTGATAGAATTCGTAGTTTATAACACCTGAATTATGGAAGTTACTTGCCTTACAAAATAATTTGCCACAAGTTCTCTTTAAATAGGTAGCTTTAACTGATATGACTTCAGAGCATCAATATTGCACCTGTAAAATATAATTTTTTTTTTCTCACATTATTGATTGCCATGGACCTCAGTTCTTTTTTTGTTTGTTTGTTGGTTTTTTCCTTTTTGGTTTCTTCATAGACCTTAGTTTTTTTGTTTTTTGTTTTGAGTTGGAGTCTCACTCTGTTGCCCAGACTGGAGTGCAGTGGCTGCTCCCGGCCACCGTAGCCTCGACCTGCTGGGCTCTGGCAATCCTTCTGCCTCAGCCTTCCAAGTAGCTGGAATTACAGGCATACGCTACCACACCGGGCTGATTTTTTGATTTATTGTAGAGATGAGGTCTCGCTGCCCAGGCAGGTCTTGAACCCGCGGGCTCAGGCAATCCACTCACCTCAGCCTCCCAAAGGCGCGGGATTACAGGCTGAGCCACCGAGCCCAGCCAAGACCTTAGTTTTAAAGGCAATAATTAAATAATGAGTTAAGTGAATTTAAGGGTACAGCATAGTTATTGTTATCTTTTCATGGAAAGTTATGGAAGAGAAGAGCAATTATAAATTTGCAAAAATAAATACGTATGCTTTGTTGTTTTTGTAACATGAGTAGTGACTGTAAAAATTAAGTATGGTAGAAAGGACTTTAGTCTTATATGATGGAGATATAATTTTGGAGACTAATGAAACCTTTGTTTTAATTTATTTAAAAGACATATCTGTTGCTTTGCTTTTATGTGAAATATTGTAATGGGGTTCCGAGAAGGCTGAAATTTTATTTTAATCAATACTACTGACTACATGATTTTACTAGTATTTGGATATTGTCTAACTCACTTTGCCAAAAAGTATTTTAAGAAAATATCTATGGACAGTTTTTATAAAAAGTAGTTTCTGTAAAGTGTTTGAGGCATTGCATTTAGTAATTAGCTTTCATTTTTAATTTGACCCTTACAATATGAGGGAGACACTTTCAATATTTTTATTTCGTAGAGAAGAAATTGAAAAAAAGATTAAGCAATTTATCTTAGATTTTACAACTAGTAAGCAGGAGAACCTGGATTTGAACCTTAACTCCCATTTTATACATTGAATGTCAAAAATGAGGAGGATTGGGTAATTATGTCATCATTTTATCTTCTCTTTATATTTAGGGGGGGAAAAAACCAGGAAAAAGCACAGGAAATATTCTTTCTAAAACCTAAGCCCTTGGGAGTTGCAGTTTGTTTTTTGTTTTTTTTCCTTTTCTTCTTTTTTAAAACTTCTCCTGAATTTTAAAAAGATTAAAATTTTAAAAAATACCCATGTCTGGGCCTCACTTCCAGCAATTTTGATTTAATTGTTTTAAGGTAGGACCCTGCACATTTGTTGTGTTGCTACTGTTAAGCTTCCCCGGTAACACTGATGTCTAGACAGAGCTGATGATCATTGTCACAACTCTTCTTTTCTACCGGGTCCTTCCTTTTGGTGTTTTGTGGTTTGGGCCCACACTCATGACCAATATTATTTAGTCAGCTTGTCTTGGGTTGTTTTTGTTATTCTTACCCCAGTAATTCTCTAGAAATCTTTTACAACTTGCTCCAGGTCCAATTAGCAGTTTTCCAGTCCCCTAGTCCATATTGTTAAATTCATAGTTTCTGGGGGTAAGGTCAAGCATCTGAGTTTTATAAAGCTTATCAAGTGATTTTGATGTTCAAATATGTAAGGAAATCGAAGCAAAGCCTCTGTTCCCTTCACCTGGAATCATGTAACCCCTTTCAGAGAAGGATAGACATATACACTTCTGGTTATATACATTAATAGCATATAAATAAACTGCAAATTAATGAGCATAATAATGAAGATATAGTTCTTATAGATAGCCCCATCATAATGTTTTTTCTTACAATATTTATATAAAACAGTAGCCCATTTTATTTAGTTACAAGTACAATAAAACAACACAACCCCAATCCACTTTTCGTTATTCATTTTATTCATTTTCATTATTAGGAAAGAGCGCATACTAGGTGTAATTTTTCTTAAGTTTTTACTTAATTTCTCCTATTTGTCTGTAAAAGCAAATGGAAGGACAGGCAAGGTCAAATAGAATTATGAAGTATCACTGCATAGTAGTTTTCAGCTGATGAGAGACAGAATTAAATTAAAGTCTTTTAGCAAAGAATAGACTGTTTTTCTTCCTTTTTTTTGTTTAAACCTCGGTTAGATACAGAGGAAATTATCTGTTGATTTGTATTATCTTTAAAGAGTTCGGGAATGTGGTGCTGTGGGAACTTTAGTGGTTGGTACTTCAAGGATTATCCCCTTACTTAAAGAAAAATTACCTTTAAATGCTATACTTAATGTTCTTGGTGAGTTTTTAAAGGTTATGCTATGTGATAAGATAATTTTATTAACTAATACTCTATAGATGCCTAAAACTTTTGGTTGCTTTAACAGTACTAATTAAAAACATGTTTGCATTGGAAAAATCAGGATTTCTTTAAGAATAATTTATAGCATGCAACATGTAATATTTCTTTCCTTTCCAACTGCTTTCTATTATATGCTTAGGGTTTAGATCGCTCCAATTCCTGGGTTAACACTGGTGGTCCAAAAGCTGCCCCATGGGGATCCAACCCCAGTCCAAGTGCAGACTCAACACAGGTGGTGTTCATATAGAGGTTTCTTTCTTGGCTGCTGATGTTTCCCTTTAGAACGTTACTTTTTTAGTGTATACTGTGATTTCAGTGGCTTGCTTTTTTTAATCATTAAAAAGTGTGTTTTTTGTTTACTTAGCCCGTTCTCTGACTGCTATGCATGAATACCACCAATTGTACCAACAGTTCTCTTCTTTCCTGTCTCCATCTTTCCTTGTATACCCTACCTGTATTCCAGTGCCTGCTGCTTATGCAATTGATGGCTTTTATAACAGTTTCTTCTTTAGGGGTAGCACATTTTTAATAGGAATTTTTAAAATTTTACGTGGAAAGATCCAGCAATTTTCTATTTGCTTTTGGTTTAAAGTGTAGCTATTGTATCATTTCCATGTAGCATTTATTATCTTGTCATTGTCTTCATAATCATTGAGTAGAAAGACTGGTAATAAGTTGAAATTAAATGTGAGCAAAATATGATCCCCATGCCATAAGATTAAATGCCAGAAGCAAAACTCCATTTTAATTTGTGCTGTGTTGCAAAATATGAAATTTATCATAACTTGGTTGAATTAGATTTTGCTTACTTAAGTCTAGTTGCTTGATAGCTAATATTGCATGATAGCTCAAAATATACTTCTCATCTGTGTGTTGGCTTTGGAGGAAAATCCTGTTCTTGAAAATAAATTGAATTCCATGTCTGATATTATATATGACTTAAATTTGATGTAGTATATGACAAATCTGAACAGTGGTTTTTGATAATAGATAAAAAGTGAAATAAATCATTCTAAGTGTTTTCTTTTTTTAATCGAGTACAAAATTCTTAATTTCCTTTTTGGTCAGACCAGTTGAAAAGTATATTTTCACTTTTTATATATTTTTACTTGATATGTGCATGTGTGTAGATCACAGATAAAAGTTTCATTCTTTGCAACACTCTGAATATTATGTAATCATTAAAATATTCATCTTTTAAAAGACTGAAAATACATAGAAGTCATTTTGCTATTTCTAATACATTGTCATTAGACTTAAAATGGTGGAAATGAGATGAGCAATAAAATAGACGATTTTTGAAACCACAGTAAAACTCTATTTTAAAATTGTACATAATCCTTGAGCTGCAAAGTCATCCACTGCAAACGTTAATGTTATCTCGTCACTCATTCATCTTCACTCCATAGGCTATGGATCGAAGTTGTAATCGTATGTCTTCGCACACAGAGACGTCAAGTTTCTTACAAACATTAACGGGACGCTTACCAACTAAAAAGGTAGATTCATATGAAGACAATTCATAGAGGGGGAAAATAATTTCAACAATTAAATAGATTTAAGATTTTGTTACTTAACCAATATGAGTTATTGCAATAGTTGCATCTTGTTTAAAAGTACAGCTGAGGCAGCAGTGCTTGTCTGATGCCTTTTGGGGCAGACCTCTCCGAGGTAGGCTCTTTTACGTTATGATAATGGTTCCATCTTCGGAATTGACTGTTTTTAGTGTTTAGTGATTTCAAATTTAATCATCAAATTTTAGTACAATGTATCTACTCTTAATTCTGTTTCTGTAACTGCTTCTGTTTTGTTTTAATTCTCCAGGGAAAGGAAGATGAGTTAGAAAAATTATCACTCTTAGTAAGATATGTTGATTTGCTTTCCTTACGTACAGTTTCGTTAGTCCTTTTTCATATTAATATACACTACTTTGCAAATGCTTTGTATGCAAATTCGTTATAAGTCAGGACATTTCTACTATTTTTAAAAATAAGATCTTACCTGAAAACTTGAAAGTTAATGACTTATAGCAAAGTTTAAATTTTTAAACATATTTCCTAAATTGTACCAGCAAAGTTCATGAGTGTATTTGTATATGTTGAAATATGTATTTAAGGCACAAACAAGATCTTATTGTAACTGTAAATTTTTGGTCTAGTTTCTGTTTGCAGGTACAATTTAGGAAGCTGTTTTCTACCTGTCCTTTTAAAATTACATTTTACTCCAAGATAACATGTAATTTTTCCAGCTGTTCGACATACCACTGTCCGAAATGCGTAAATAGCCGTTTCGTTAATGGGTGTCTTCACTGCATCATTGAATGGTTCACATGCCTTATTTTGCTTATTCTCATTGTATCTTCGTTTGTATTTGCATTATTATTTGGTGTATGTTATCAGCAGATTTGACTTTGGCAATAACTTTGGATTTGCTTCTGGATAGCTTTTTCATGAGGAGCTGGCTTTGCAGTGGGTTGTTTGCAGTGGCAGCGTTCGGGAGTCAGCTTTGCAACAAGCCTGGTTCTTTTTTGAGTTAATGGTGAGCAAAAATTAAGCACATTCTTAAATAATTTTTTCCTTAGTGAACAATTTCGTGTTGACTCATGTGTTATCTTAGGAATCTTTTCCTAGTGTACATTTTATGGTTTTACGTATGCCTCCAAGACAAGTAATTACATGCGTGAAATCTCCAAATAAACACTGTGCACACCAGCAAAGTTTAGGTGAAAGTATAAAGAATGCAGCTCATTTAAACTCTGTTTTGTCAGGAATGGTTGCAGAAGCTAGCTATCTTTTCAAAGGAAATTTATGATACATTCTTTCCTGGTCAGAACATGCAAGTATATAATGGCAGTATTGTAAATTTTATACCAAAGATTAAAAAGAGCATTATAGATACCTACTACTATTATTATGGCTAGAAAACTTAGAGAAATGCCAGTTGTGGCCAATAAAAGAAAAACAGGGCTTTTTGCTTAATTCAGTAAGTAATATTAAAAACAAATGAGTGCATTAATAATTTAATTAATAAATACATATATATATCTGCAGTTGACAACACAAAGGTTGGGTGCTGACTCCCTATGCAGTCAAAAATCCACATATAACTTTTGATTCCCCCAGAACTTAACTATTAAGCCCTACTGATAGCGGAATCAATCGTTTGACACATATTTTGTATGAAATATGTATTATATACTGTATTCTTAGAATAAGAGAGAAAAACATTATTAAGAAAATCATAAGGATGAGAAAATGTGAGCGATTCATTAAGTGGAGGTCAGTCATCGTAAAGTTCTTCATTCTCATTGTCTTCACTTTGCATAGGCTGAGAAGGAGGAGGAGGAGGAGGATCGATTAGTCTTGCCATCTCAGGGGTGACATAGGTGGAAGAAAATCTATATAAATGGACCCATACAGTTCAAACTTGTGTTTGTTCAGTGATCACCTCTCTATTTAAACGTGTGTGTGTGTGTGTGTGTGTGTGTATACCTGTATACACACACATAAACAAAGGCAACAAACATTTATCAAGTGGATATAGTCTGCTAATACTGCCCTGTGGCCTAGTGTTATCATGTCAAAGAGATGTTAGGTAATTTCTTACTATAAACAGCTTGTAGGTAGCAGAACTGTGATTCAAGCTCAAGCATTCTGGCACTTGGGATGCTCCTCTTAACCTTTCTCTTCAGCTTCTAGAAAGCTGAAGTCACTGAAACTTTGTCTTCCAAAAAAGAAATATGTAAAAATATAAGAAACAAAGGAAAACAAACAAAGAGGGATGGAGGGAGGGAAGCAATGGAAGGAAGGAAGGAAGGAAGGAGAAGGGAGGGGAGGGGAAGAAAGGGAAGGGAGGAAAGAAAGGTAGGGGGGAGGATGGGAGGGAAGGATGGAAAGGAACAAAGGAAGGGAGGAAAAGGAGCTTCCAGAGCATGTCATAAGGTGATTCTCAGCACTGAATGTTACCTATATTGGAGGAAATAAAACATTTCTCCTAGAGAGTTAATAATCTACAGAAAAAATAAATCAGAGAGCATATATATAAGGGACAGATAGCTCACTTTTCCCCTAGGAAATAAATGCCAAATCTGTGGTTTATGTGCTTTTATTGTAAGAAAAACATTTTAATTTTGACTTCTTTTTATAGTTTTACATGTATATTTAAGTTTCTTAAATATATAGTAGTAAAAGAAACATATATAATCCAAAACTAGATTTTGCTGTATACTTGTATAGAACCTTAGCTTCAATTTCGCTGACCTTAAAGTTTAAAATACTTTATTACCATTATCATAGTGTTGTAATGAATAATCCACATCTAAAAGCATTTTATAAACTTAAATCACTCAGTTAATTTTTAATGAATAAATTTTGTTAGCAATTTTTGGTCATCAAACATGTATTACATGTATACTTACCATGTGCCACTACATGCTATATGCTGAAGACTACAATGAAGATGAGGCTTCTAACCTTTCAAAGTTTACAGTTTAGGGGATATGGATGGTAAATATTGAGTCTTAGAAAAATTTAATTAAAACTTTTTTTTTTTTTTTGAGTTGGAGTCTCACTCTGTCGCCCAGACTGGAATGCAGTTGCCGCTCCCGGCCACCGCAGCCTCGACCTGCTGGGCTCTGGCGATCCTTCCGCCTCAGCCTTCCAAGTAGCTGGAACTATAGGCATGCGCCACCACGCCTGGCTGATTTTTTTGATTTATTGTAGAGATGGGGTCTTACCTGCCCAGGCAGGTCTTGAACCCGCAGGCTCAGGCAATCCACTCACCTCAGCCTCCCAAAGGCGTGGGATTACAGGCTGAGCCACCGAGCCCGGCTAAAACGTTTTTAAAGGGTGAAATATTTTCCTGTTGACATATGCAGAATGTTTTTTCTATTGCTAACCAGGATGGTTTTCTGAAGGTGATGTAGTGATTGAGTTATATTGTGTTTGATATTTTTTTGGCATACGCAAAATATTGTAGGGAACTTTTAAAAATTATTTGAGAAGTTTAAAGTATTTCAGGCATCATATAGTATATTCAAAAATAGCCTGAGTATTTAGAATTGTTGTAGTTGTTAATGATATCCATAAGAAATTAAACCAGTGACTTATATCTTTTTTTAGGTAAAAAGCATGGTGCACCATTTATACTTTAATGATAAACTTGATGCTCCAAGGAAAAGTCGTTTTCCAGAACGTTTCATGGATGACATTGCTGCTCTTGTTAGCACAATCGCTAGTGACATAGTTTCAAGACTTCAGAAGGTAATGATAACTTTCCCCCCACTTATCTCTTTTTGAAGCGAAGATCAAACTATCACCCTTTCACTTGATTTTTTGCTTTCTCTTCTTTTTCCCAGGACACAGAAATGGTTGAGAGACTCAACACAAGCCTCGCATTCTTTCTTAATGATCTGTTGTCTGTTATGGACAGAGGATTTGTTTTTAGCCTTGTAAGGTCCTGCTATAAACAGGTAATGCATAATTAGTGGTCAAATAATTTGAAAAGTTTGTTCTTTTCAGAGTTGGAGCTAAGAGACCTTCAAGAGCACATTCATATGTGGATATTCAAGTAAAAAGTAGCATAAAGCAACATTTTTATTAGCAAGACAAAAATAAATTACATTTGTTTTATTGCCATGAGGTCTGTGGCAAGCTGATATCAGTACAGCCAGCTTTTCCTTGAGTTGTACTGGCTGCGTATGACTCTTTAATTCCCACTCAGGATCATACCATCAAGTCAAAGTAAAGTAAAGCAGCCTCAAGATGCCTCGCGCTTGTCCATTTATACTAAATGAACAGCTAACCAAACTTTTGTATCTTGAGTGATTTTTTTTTTTTTTTTGAGTTGGAGTCTCACTCTGTCACCCAGACTGGAGTGTAGTGGCCGCTCCCGGCCACCACAGCCTCGACCCACTGGGCTCCGGTGATCCTTCCTCCTCAACCTTCTGAGTAGCCAGAATTACAGGCATGCGCTACCATGCCCAGCTGATTTTTTGTTTTATTGTAGAGATGAGGTCTTGCCAAGTTGCCCAGGTGGGTCTCGAACCCGCCGGCTCAGGCAATCCACTCACCTCAGCCTCTCAAAGCACGGGATTACAGACTGAGCCACCAAGTCTGGCTTGAGTGATTTTAAAACAGTTGCATTTTGCTATAGATATTTCTCCCAGTGAAGCCCTGGACATTGTAGTTTGGAATTATGGACAGTTGTTCACCCAAGTCTCAAATGTCATTCATTATCTTAACTTTACTAAACTAAAAGCATTCTGGAATTTTTCCACAAATAGCTGATTTTGTTTTAAAATGTTTATCAACTGATTAATGAAGCCTGCCTTTGGAAAACATTAATTATTGATCCTGATGGGCTACTTAGGTAGTGAGCTGTATAAGCATTTTAGAATTATCTTTTAGAGAAGCTTGAAAAATATGCAGATGTCTGGGATAACATCCCAAAATTATTGAGGAGTTTGAATTCTGGTGGTGGGGATGAGGCATACACAGTGCCTGTAAATCACCTCTCAGTTGGTTCTCAGATTAGTTTTGGGAAACTAATGGTCAGGAATTCCATTTGGCAGTCTGATATTTAGAATTTTGAAGATGTATTCTATCAGAGATGTTTATTGTTTCTTTTAATAGCTAAAACTGTGCTTGAGTACTGATCCACCTGCAAATATTTGTAACACTGTATGTATTTGTTTTACTTTCCCCCCAAATTTTATGTACTTTTGCTTCCAAAACTTGTTCTGTCTTTATTTTTTAAGCATTGACCTGCTGTAATTATCAAACATTGGGCTAAACCAGGAATACTAAAGCTATTTAAGTCAGTTTATAGTATGTCTCATCAAGTAGCTTATGATGTAGTTGGGAAAATAGACAGTTATAAATACATGTAAGCACAAGGTGCTGTAAAAAGAATGGATAATTTCTTTTAAAAAGTGACGTGAAGTTACGTTGGGGGTATGCTTTCACCTCATAAAGTACATTTTGGAGAAGTAAAAATGCTGGTGCTTTACTAGAAATACAAACATTTGGCTTTTAGGTGAGCCAAATGAATTTTTGCAGTAAGCCTCACAGTTCCCAATTTTTAATTTTAGCAGTAACTCTGGAAAAAGCTGATACTGTTATTTAAGCCACAAAACCCAAGACTGCCCACTGAGGACTGTTCTTTGATTCTTTAATCCATGATTCTGGTTAGTATTAAATAAACAGTATATTCAACTGGTGTTCTCTTATTTATGCAATGCTCTCGAGGTGTCTTCAAAGCTTTATTCATTACCAAACCCAAGTGTCTTGGTGTCCTTGAGACTGGATTTTCTGCGAATCATCTGCAGCCATGAGCACTATGTCACATTGAACTTGCCCTGCAGCTTGCTTACTCCACCAGCCTCTCCATCACCTTCTGTTTCTTCTGCAACATCTCAGGTATGCAGGATGTGTGAATAGACTTATTTTTAAAGTCCATATTTGTGAAAAAGAGTTTTAAACAGTAGAAAAGGTAATTAACATTTGTGCTATAGTAGCTGTATGATAGGCTTAGTTCTAAGTGCTTTATAAGTGTTAGCTCATTTCATCTTCCGGATAATTCTAGGAGGTTAAATTTTCTCATTATATCCTTTCTACAGATGATAAAGTGGAAATACAGAAAGGCCACTGAGTAACAAGTGGCAGAGCAGGCTCTGAGCCAAGGCTTTATTCTAGAACCCAAGTTCTGAACTCACAGGGGTGTGCTCCTTTCTCAGGTCTACACTCATGTGAACGAATTCACTCTCATAGACCCACTTATGTAGATGCTTTCCTAGATTGGTTTCTGTTGAAACAGACACTAAGAATGAGTCTCGTATGTTTATTAGAGGTTAACACATGTGAAAGGAAAGGGACAAGGCAGAGTTGAGCAGAGAGAGTCAGACTGAGATGGAGACAGGACAAAGCCTGCCCAGCTCTCCTGTATCCAGAAACCCCCAGGAAACCAGATCAATATGTATTGGTTTTTCAGTGGGTGGCAGTTGACTTCAGTAGGCAGTTTCTCTAAAGATGGAGAAGTGTTATTGTAGCAATACTATGTGTGTCTTCTCATTTAGATTCAGATTGAGAAAGTTAATGGTTTTAGTGTCAGAGAAGCCTGGATTTTCCTTCCTCTGGTGAAACACTCGGCTGTATTATTCCTGAGGCAAACAGGCTACTTCCTTAAACCTTTTTTTTTTTCACTTTTAATTTTTTTTTAAATTTTAAACATGTAGGTATACAAATGTTCATTATGCAGGTATCCTTGTTGATGAGGTGTGCCCCCCGCCCCATTCCCCAGGCAGATTTCCACTACTGCCATTCTCAACTCCCCCGAGTTTCCTGCTACTGCCTGTCCTTTTCTCATAGTATTACAATACTTATTAAAGGTCTGTTTGTTAATGAGAAGATGTGATACTCAGTTTTTTGTTTCTGTGAAAGATCACTCAGTATTATAGATTCTGAGTCCATCCAGGTTGCTATGAAGTTCATTCCTTAAACTCTTTTTTTTTCTTTTTTTTTTTGAGTTGGAGTCTCACTCTG